ATAGATTAATATTTCATGCTTTAACCACTTTAATATTACATGTCTTCCTAGACGTCTACTGAATGAATAAATGTTGCGTGTTTCACTCGAATCATCCGCATGCGCTTGATACAACAGCGATCTGTGAATTTATTGGTTTTACTATGTGAATTTCGAATATCGATATTCAGTTGTAATGAATTCAAAACAGAATACACGATGATGTTCGCGAATAATGTATTCAGCTGCAACTAAACACAACAAAATTCAATTTGCCATTCACTAGGAAATACACTCGAATGGTGATGTAAAAAATTAATTTTTCTCTGCACTTCAACAGTATCCAATTATCAGCACTGGTGATGCAATGCAGGTGAATTATTCGATCACATTACATTTAGCTCAAAGCCAATTCAGCACAAAACATAAATCCATGTATAAGTACGTACGTTGGGTTTATTTATGGCATTTTTTGAATTGCAATTGAATGTTGACGTTTTGAGCCAACAAATTGTTTCAAAATCTAGAGTTGTTCGTTCATCCGTTACACACATCAATCCACCGATTTTGACAAGCCGTCTAACCGTTGAGAAGCAAAGCATTTGCTGCTAAACGAGCGAATGGCAATCGTTATGAAAATGAGTTGCCATTGAATGTTGCACGCAGAATTCATCAACTGCACACTATGCTCATTGAGTGTTGTTTGTTTTACTGCACGAGCAGACTTAATGAATTTTAGTGAATCGAGACGAAATTGAATGCTTTGTGATGAAGCATAAAGTGTTGCTGAATGAATTTATTAGTCTCTCGTCGTATTTCTAGGAACATATAAAGCATACATTATAGAGCCTAGTTGTTCTATGTATGGCATTCATGAAGCAAATATAATCTCTATCACACACTGATTCAGCATTGTTGATTAGTTGAAGAGTTCCTATGTTCTGCATTCCACGATTTACGTTCAGTCATAAAATGAGAACGCAAACAAAACATTGTGTTTGTCGGCAGCAAATTTTTTCCTCAATTACGGCAGTATTGTCGTGAATGCAGTCTTCCAGTTCAGTATTTTGTGCTTATCTGCTGAGAATGAGTTTTTTTTTGTGGAGTGAGACAATATCAGAGCAGTTATTTGATTTCATCTTTTAAAACAACACTTTTTTTCAAACTTTCCGTGCAGTTTCCAAGGCAACATTTGCTAATATCAAACTATTCGTTGTCAGACTGACAGAAGTTCCATTTGGCTGATAAATTCATGTCTTGGGTATGTTTTACGATGATTCTTCCAAAAAAAAAAACACTCTTCAGACTGTGTTCCTTTGGGATTACAGTTGAAGCTTTGGATTTCTGTTGAGGGATATCAGATATAGGAGTGCTTCTAGTACATATATGAATATGAGAGCAATTTATGAGATGCATTCAATTTCAGGTGCAAGTGGGTACAAGAACGTTTGATGCGAACGAAATTCAAAAATTAATTCCACAATTAGAAGAGACCATCGAAAAAAAGGACCGTCAGATACGGCAACAACAATCCACCGTTGAATCACAACTCAAAAGGATAACTGAATTGGAACGAGAGGTGAAAACACTACAGGTTCGTTTAACCTCGTTACCAGTTCATGTTTATTAATTTCCGGCAATTCACAACTCGCTTTCAGATAATATTCGATCAACGCTTTCGAATTGTTATTCATTGATTTCTTGAGTCCACTATACTGCATAGTGATGCTAGTGTAATAAGACACCCAGCCGTTTGACTATAAGTGTAATTTATCAGGCGAAGGAATTGTCTTTGATGTGATCATTGTTCGAAATCAGAGAAGCTTAATTAGGCTTTGAATTGAAACAAATCAGTATATTATAGAAGAAGAGTTGATGCCTATCGAAATGTCTTACAATTAGTTTTAGTAGATGAATGTCTTTATACCTCGAGGAGAGTATTGAAATTTGAGACATTTAACGGATATTATTGATTGGAGATGTTGAAAGGGTTCGTCTGATATTTGCATATAGAAGATAATTGACGCTTTTGAATGCAGTTTACTGGATTTATACGTACGTAATCTGATTGTTTTCGAATTCAATGGATGGATTATGTTGTGCGAAAATTAATGTTATAGTCGTCAATCTTATGTGTTCGTCAACACGCATTTAAGAAGCAAGTAATGCTTGTTTGTTTGCTCACTGGAATGTTCTTTAGAGGTAGTGTATTTTAGTTACGCTTCCACAATGTCACAAATACCTTCAAGAAGGTTTCCCTATCGCTTTATCTACCAGTGAACATTCTGAAAATGAAGGCATTGAAGCAATCAATTTGATTTCATTCTGAAAAAAAGATAGTTTTCATTTCAAGATAAGCTTCTTGCATTAAAAGAAGGATGAGTGTACTTCTCAAATAGAATTATCCGAATTTGCATTCAATATCGAATTTCATTGATAGAGAATTTTTCCCATTTTTTATCTTTTCTTCAGTAATTTGATTTTACCGTTGATCATCAACCATTCGAAAAAAAAACATATACATGAAGATTGAGAAGCAAATTTCTGTTCGTAAAAAGTCTAAGTAAGTGAATAAATGATTGGTTGTCTCGTATTCTTTGAATTGCTATTGGTATGTGAATAATTCATTTACAACACTGATCATCCACTATTTTTCTTATAATCAATTTATTGCGGATTCAGTTCGAAAACTTCACTGAATACTAATGCATGTACATGTAACGTTCGTTGAAATCTTCTTGAAACTGCCCACATCTGTAATTTCTCGTAAATGTTTGAAAATTCATTGGGTCATTCACAATTCCGTTTGAAAATTTGGCTTGTAAGGGCGTAGAACTCTTCAAAAATATGCCATTAATGGCAAAAATCATTATGAATTGCATTTGTATCCATCTTGGCACACAGAAGAGACTCAATTTGGAAGGTGTTCAATGAGTTGTTTGCAGAAGAGTGGATTTGTTATGCATTCATTCATATTCGATGTTGCAGCAGTACGACATACACATCATGAATATTATTGTTTCTCTGATTTGACAGCTCTACCAAGAAACCACATTTCTGATTTTTCATCAACTGACGAGTAAACTTTTCGGCGAATTAATCTTTTGGCTTGAGGCGGCTATAGAATAACGATTTGAAGCAAGTATTCGAAAACATTCCTGTTGAAGATATATTAGGAATGCATTTCAAGGAGTTCGTTCAGTTCCAACAATACGTGAGATTCAAGTCGAATCTTTCCCGAGGTTGTCACTGTTCTTGTAAAAACTAGTAGCGAGAAGAGTAGAAATTTTCTCAACCGTTATCCGCAATGCACTCGGTCAACTAGTTTCATTATTTCTCCTTTCAGTTTTTTCTTTTCTCACCCTTTTCTCAAGTAAATCCACCAATAAGTTAAGAAGTTCGCAGCAATCTTGAGGGAAAACTTTTTACTTTTTTCGGAAAATACATCCATCATAATTCTGATCTTTTTTCAAACAAGTGTACGAATAAGCTCAGTGTTCTCAGCAGTTTTTCTTGCTGGATAATCTGGTAAACACCACATTATCCAGCTAACATTCATTATTTTTTCGTCCAAACGAAATTGTTAGGTTTCATTATTCCATTTTTTCTCTGGCTGTCAAGAAACATGAAACTAACTCAATGTGTTTCTTATCATCACAACTGTATCCAAAAATCTCAAGAGATTCTTGATTAGGATATAAAATTTACAATTTTGATTTTGAAAAGGCTTACTATTAGTCACAATTCAGTTCATTTGAAAGCACAACCATTGCGATTGGAGTCTTCAGTCTCCGATTCAACGAAGTGAAAACATGCGCACAAGTGCTTCACGATCACAGCGATCTCGAATGTGAACTGCAGATGAATTTGTATTCTAGTGCTGTGCTGAAACATCGGAAATTCATCGTTTTTAACCAACTGAAATGGGACGAAAGATGAATAATATCGTGGATGAATGCCCCAGTGTGATGCTCTAATCAGCCGAATGTGAACGAGAACGACAAGATAATCTGATAACATCTCGCTTACAAGGCACATCATAATGCCCAGAAATACGCGCATCTATTCCAAAAACATGGATGCAAACAGCAATAACGAATATGTAAACGAAAACAGTTACTTCATCTGAACATTAAGAAGACACAATGCAGACATTTTTATTACACGACATTGCTATTGTTTTTGTTATTCCGTTCACTCATTCATCAGCATATTTTGTTCATCGAAGCTTATTTATTGTTTTCGCGAATGAAATTATGTTTATCAGTCGAGTGAGCCAATAAGTGAGCCGAATGGAATGAAATCGAAAGAAAATGGAAGATGTTTAGTTGGTTAGTTGCTAGTGAAGATAATATTGTTGTTGCTATGATTAATGTTATTGAGCATTTCACAATTTGTTTAATGAATGGTTTTCGAGCGATTTCTGAAAGTCTAACGATCGAAATTTGAACGAAACGATAGTAACAGATTGAAATTGTGGCTGCCAAGCGCTGTTGAATAGATTTATTAGTTACAAGGTTTTAGACGGGTTACATTGCATGAAGAACGTTCATTTGTTCATCGATCCGCTAGTTTATCGTTCTGGCGATAGAATGTAACGAACTGAATGTGAATATTTATTTTTAGACAATGTAAGATTAGCATATCGGCGGCGGGTGTACATAGCTGTGAAGATTAATGTTTGCTTATCGTTAGCACTGAGTGCAAGTTTCTATCATATTTCGCAAACATGTTATTCAACGCATTCTTGAAATTGTTTCAAACAAAAAGCAGCGGCCGTGTTCAGAAGATAGTCACATTCACTCACAATAATCTTGCTTCCTAGAAACAGCCAAAAATTTCATGCATTAGATAGTCGTGAATTTCATGCAAGATGATAGTAGTGATATTAATAGTGGTGCAGGACGTGGCTTTAATGGGATAATAAAGTGGAACCATAATAGCCTATTGAGTGTGAAGCAGTCGTAATAATAAAACTCATCATAACATGAGCCATAACGAAAATAATTATGGTACTGGAAATGGCAAAATGCATAGCGATGACGATAATCGTTATATTTTAAATGCTTGGTTACGATAGTAATGCCGACGGCATTGATGACAGTAGTCTCCACTGGCATTTTCATTGCAGTCAAAGAAACTTCTCAATATTGATAACATTTTTAATCACACAACTAATGTCATTTATGAGTCACCACTAATATCAACAGTAATCTGATGATCTTAGCGGTCCGTATGATAATTCTACTGATAAAAAATTTGGTTAAAGTAGCTATTAAAAAAACAAATTTTTGAGTTTATCATTCAGAATGAGTGATATCTTTGAGGATGATATCAATTCACAATAAATTAAACACACTATCATTACTGTCTTCACTTTGAATATTTATTCAGTTCAAAGGAATGATGCTAAGAAGTGTCATTGTTCTCTGATCTGATCCAACATCTGCATCGCATCAGTCGAATTTTCTCGTTGTTAAAGCAGTTTTAATTTCAGAGCGAATGCGATAAACTACGTTCTGTGCTCGATCAGAAGGCACAATCAGCTGCATCGCCACATGCTGTACAAAAGGTGCAATGTTTTTTCCGCTTCTTATTTTTACTCGTTCACATGGAAATAAAATTTTTATACGGTTTTATTGCTTAATGTCTATGAGATACTTCTTGTCAGGTAGCTGCTGCACCTGTTCATGAACTCTTCCCCTCATCATATATTGAACAGGTTTTTTATGAATTTTTTCCCATTCGAGCACCTGCTTCAACTTTAACAGCACAAACGAATATCTCAATCGTGTGCATCATTTATCTTTTCCAAATTCTTCTCTATACTTCTTTTTTGCTAGATTTTCAAGCCATCTTTATGTGTTATGTAAACATATTATTCATTATATCTTTTTTCTTTATCCGTGAACAATAACGATCATTTCATTTTTCGTTTGATTAAGAAACCTTTTCGTGGCTCTGATCACTGCTCAATTGTTCAGAATTCAGAATCAATGAAAATATTATCGATGTTTCATTCATTATGCGACATGCATTTCATAAATCTAAAGAACTTGTTGTTAGCATCTGAGAACACAAACGTCCATAGAAGAACATTCGTATGTGCGTGCGTTCCTTGGATGAGCGATCAAACTTGTTAAATTCAATGGTTTTGCTTGATGAGATGTAGTGTGGATACAAATTCTCAGAAGAAAAGATAAATTATAAGCGTGTAAGCAGATCACAAAGCTGAGTATAGTCTAATGATCAAATCGTGCGTAAAATTTCACTGTCGTCAAAAATCCGATGTACGACGATGGTTTCTGAAAGATTGATTGTATGAAGGAGGAGAAGATTCATTCCTTTCGTGATCATTCGAACGTATTCTAGAAAATATTTTATCCTCTCTTAAATGGCTGATTGATTTGAACGCATAACGTTAGTCTCACTCTGATCGCAAATTTCATCGCTCTGAAAAACTTCATTTGTGATGATCTGTCAAAGGGTATTTCTCATTCACGGTTTGAATGCAATCAAGGATCATGAGTTTCATTGGCTTCTAGCATGACCGTAATGAAATAACCTAACGTTGTCGTATTCAGACATCAAAATCGTCCGATGAACTACGCGGCGAGTTGCAGCATAATGCTGCAATGGCGAACACAGACGATGTGGTTCGTTCGAAGAAATTAGCCGTATCTGCCGAGCCAGCCAAATTAGATCAACACAAAGCCAAATTACAACATCATCCGAAACAAGCCGGGTAAAATTCTCATTGATTCAATTCGTTTTTCTCGAAATTACTCACGTCGACTTTCGGTTTATCGATACGACAGAAGAGACGAGAACGAAGTCTTGCAAGGGCATAACAATTCCAATTGTTCACACGTTGTGTAGCCTTATGAGAAGACGTATTCATAGACAAGTGTATAGTTCTATCAATGAAAAAGTTTTTGTTTGTTCCTAATTCCAGCACTCTCTTATAACTTCTGAAATAATGACTGGTACTGATATTTTAGTTCGAAGCAGTTGATTCGAGATGCAGTTCAAAAGAACGATTTCTTACGGCAGTTAGCGAAAGAACAAGTGATCGAACTGGTCGAATGCATGTATGAAATGCGTGCTCGTGCTGGACAATGGATCATCCAGGAGGGAGAACCTGGAGATCGACTGTTTGTCGTCGGAGGTTGGCAGTTTTGCTTAGTCGCAATTAACTCATCGCTTTTCGATGCCTTTGTTCTATGAAATTTTATCGAGTATGTCACTTCCAAATATGCACTGCTCCCCGAACTATTGATATAATCATCCAATAGAGTCTGTCATTTGGAACTTCTTCCCTCAACAAATTTGGCTCCTTCACGATGGAACGATCATCTCATTTGAGTCAATTTCACTTTTCTCATAATGAAACAAGATCTTTCGAGTGGCACACTCTGAACCACATACGCTATGAAGTAAGCCATATTGTGGGGTGGATTCACAGTTGAGAGGATTTATTCGATGAACATTTCAGAGGGTCAGTTGCAAGTTTCAAGGGAAGGCAATGCTTTGGGTACGATTGGGCCCGCTGTAGTAATGGGTGAACTTGCCATACTTTACAATTGTGTCAGGTTTGTTTGTTTGTTTATTTTTCATTTTCGTTCTGATGATAGAAAAGGTTTGAAAGGATTCTATTGAGTGCATAAAAGTTTGTGCACTCAATAGATAAAGCATAAACGACTTCTTGTCGCATTGTTGGAAAATTGTTGTGTTATTCACATATTTCATTTGTGAATTTGCTCAGTCACAACAAATCTTATCGAAGAATGTATTCAAATGATTGTTTATGCAAAATCTAAATGGATAATTACACGTGCTATCAAATACTTTAAAAATACCGATCTGGAAAAATCAACTAGTCATAAGCACATCAAGTGGCTGAATTCGCTCGTCACTTCAATATCTTTTAATGCTATGCATCAATTTTCAACAGTTGGAATAAACTGAAAAGGCGGAAAGTTTGATGGTTACGATTTCCATGAACTGATGGATGAAGCTCTAATTAGCAAAACGCTGAATTTGAACCAAAATCTGCTTCTAGGACAGCATCAATTCAAGCCTTAACAGACGTCCAACTATGGGTATTGGATCGCTCAGTCTTCCAAATGATAACGATGCGACTGGGTATGGAAAGGCACGCCCAGCTTATGGCCTTCCTCGACAACGTGATAGCTTGCAATACTTTCACTTGATTGATCTTCTCATGCATTTAAATTACCATTTTGAAATGTCTCTGCACAGAAACTGAAATTTGAAACATCTCAAATTCCACCCATCGATTCATTCAGTGGGATCAATTCAGTGAATTCTTCCACTCTTCTATGATGATTAACAGACGAGATCGTTACGGGTTTTTCGAATCGCGCATGTCGTTTCGATCCCTCGCACACTTCCCTCTTATTCTAATTCACTTGTTCACTTCCCATCTCGCCGTGTGAATTTAACTGTTGTTTCAAAAAAACGACTCGTGAATATCGATCGACAATGATTGAAACCATACTTTCGATCGTTGTTGAGCCTTGATAGAGGTCAAAATTTTCATAGTTCATGAGAATCGTTTATGGTTTTAGTAGGTCTACTCGACAAGCTGCGTATTTTCAGTGAACATCCAATTGATTTTTAGGTTTCAATATTCGAGAATCTTTCCGAGGATCGCATCTCGAAGATAGCCGATTGTTTGGATCAAGACTACTACACTGGCGGTAATTACATTATTCGAGAAGGCGAGAAGGTAAGGCTTTGTTCTGCTTATATTAAGTGAATTTTGTTTTGAAGCGGAAATGCGTCGTCGTCGTGTCTTCAGCGGTTTCGATCAACGCTAGATTATTTCGAAGGGCCGACCGAAATTGTAAAATCATGTGAAAGAATTACTGATTTTGTTGATTTCTCATGTCAGAAGAATCTATTCCATCCGAAAAAACCTGGCAAATTCGATAATAATCCGTCATTTGTTGCATATCGCACTGATGTTTTCTATAATCCATCATACAATCTCTGACGTCAAATTTCTTTCTCATCGTTATTTATCATTCCCATTCAGTCTTTTTGTAAACACGTTAATACACTTCATAAATTCTCACGCATGTTTATTTCACAAAAATTCATTCTGATCGTTCTCAAACAGTTTTCAATTTTTGAACTATCTCAGGCAATTCGTTTCGCGAATGGTTTCGCTTTTTGTGTCGAGCCGAAATGAGAGAATTGCTGGAATATTTGTCGTTCCAAAATGCTGTGAATTGTAGGGTGATACGTTCTTCATTTTGAACAGTGGTCAAGTACGTGTAACACAGCAAATCGAAGGTGAACCAGAACCGCGTGAGATACGCATTCTCAAACAAGGCGATTTCTTCGGTGAGAAGGCTTTGCTCGGCGAAGAGGTGAGTGCTTTTGGTTAATTTCCAAACGAGACGTTGTGGTTGTTTGTTTTTTCCTGGCAATCATATATTTCTCTAGATTTTTTCGGCAATTCCGTCTGAGAAAATATCTTTGAAAGTGATTTTCCATTGTTTCTGATGATGAATTAGCTGTTTCAACCAATTTTGTTTTTCGCCGAGACTACTCAAAACAATCTTTCTTCACTTCATTCCTTGCCAAATGAACCAATCAATCTTGGAATTTACATCTTTTTTTCGATGTCTTGACTGATATCCCAGGAACATGATAGCTATATAAACCGTTGAATTTATGAACGCTTCTATTAGTGGACTCCTTCATGAGGTCACGTCTTCGAATCCCCATTCACGTTATTCGCCTCACAAATATCGTAACATATTTCTACGGCATCAACCTTGATGAAATTTGTCTGTTGATGATTTCACTCTAGAGCCGTGATCATCGATATTATCACTAGGATTACGGTTACTGTCGTTATTGTTTGAATTATTACCGTTGTTGGCGTCAATGAGTTGGGATTATACTAAGTATCGATTAAACATCATGTTTATACAACTGCTATTATCATGGTTCCATGGTCTATGATGAGTTGGAGCCCAAATCATTGAGTCACCATCATTCTCTCGGAATATACATCANGTGTCAGTCAGTGGTCGTGTCTGCATGCAAATGAACGATTGTGATTGCAGGTTCGAACGGCGAACGTGATCGCAATGAATCCAGGTGTTGAAGTTTTGACATTGGATCGGGAATCGTTCACGAAACTTATCGGTGACTTGGATGCGCTCAAACGGGATTACGGCGACTCGCAACGACGTGCTATTGTGTTCGTTTCAACTTCGCTTCGCTTTCCATCGTTGATGATGAAAATAATTGTTTTATGGAATACTTCAATCTTTTGTCTTGTTGAGTATAGTTACTTTTGTCTGACTCAACTCAGCTGATATGATTTTACTTTTGGGAGCCGCAATGAATCACTTGAGTGATCCATTTGAACGTTGTTGATGCTTGATCGCAGAAAAGTGTAATAGAGTGAAATATTTTAAGAGTTGCACAAGAACCGCCGTCACCATCAAAGGCGGCCATCGAGAAAGAATTCTCGGGTGTTCATTTGAAGCAACTCAAACGACTCGCCACTTTGGGTGTTGGAGGTTTTGGACGAGTTGAAATGGTTGCTTTTTCTTTTTTCCTAGCGATCCCCCTTAATCAATTCTAAACTGAAACTCCTTAACAAACACTCTCGTACATTATCATATGAAAGTGTGCAGTAAATGAAAAACTGAATGTTCGATTGCTTGAAGGTGTGCATAAACGGTGATAAGTCACGTACGTTCGCGTTGAAGGCGTTGAAGAAGAAACACATCGTTGATACAAGGCAGCAAGAGCATATCTTCGCCGAGAGAAATATCATGATGGAAACACGATCCGATTGGATTGTTAAGTGCGTCGTCGTTCCTTCCTCATTTCTACACGTTATTCATCGAAATTCACCCACAAGCGAATTATCCAGCAACACTGATTAACTAGTCAATAATATGAAATTATGCCTCTTTGCTCTCTGAACAAATCACACCAAAATGCGCATTCTAAGCATTTCAGTAGAAAAGCGTTTACTTTTTTTGATTCTTTTCGGTCGTTCCAGTGAAAAGTTCATTATAATTGATTGAAATCCAGTAATTGTAGTGTGAATTTCTTTTTGCATCTGCTGTTGATATTTGCTCAAATTTCACATCATTCTCACGTCGCTCTGTCGCGGTATCGAAAGCGAAGTCAGCAGGTATCGTAACTCCTGCACGCAAATGTATAATATATCTTT